CAGGAATCATAGAAAACAACCCTACGTGAAAACAGAACTAAACAGCAAAACATCACAGAGATGACGCTTAGTGAAAGATTAAAATGCAGAAACATTTACTGTTAGTTTTTGCTGAATATAGCTATACTAACAATTGTACTTAAGTCAGTGTAACTACATACACAAGTAAAGAGAGTCTTAAAGCTGTAAATCACAAAGAGGAAAAACATCCAAGTTATAAAGATACAGTAGGAGATGCAGTCAGGTGTCTGTACTCTGAAAGTTTGTTTTCCTCCTGTTTCCCTAACTCTCTCCTTCAAGTCCAGGTGATAGGTGCAGGCTATGTTTTTATTAAGGCCAGAGGAACAAATAAAAGAACAGACTGAGAAGGGAAGTGTCCCATTAGAAGGACTATATTTTATAGCGTGGTTCCCTTTCCATGAAAAAGGATGGAAACATCAGGTGGCCTCACCTACAAACACTAAACTAAAAACTGCCATGCTGTACTCGGAGTTGCAACGGGTTAGCCAAAAGGATTACTTAAAACTTAGCTAAGCTGCTGCAAAATTCCATGCAGACAAAATGAATTCACATTTAACCCAGTCCAGGTTAGTTTGGCTCTTCTAAATTATTTATCTTTTGACAGTTACCTAAGTCCATAAACTGGCATTTATCAATTTAACTTAGGTTTCCACATATCCTTTTTTTTTTTTTGCCAGTTTAAAGAAATGTTTTAACCACTTTAAAGCTAATTAAGTGCAATTTTACACAGAAAGCTTTTAGAGCAAAGACAATAAAAACAACTATTGCTAGTCAAAAGATAAGCAAGTATTTCTACTCGATATAATAAATTAACGTGCAATAAGTGCATGCACTGCAATTCCAATGTCTTAATATATATTTGTTCTCATAGATACTGGCAGTGGACTGGAAAACAAAGTGACCAGTCCTGCTCCAACCACAAAACACCCTGATACAACCACACCAATCAAAGCAACTACATCTACTCCAACACCCAGTTTACCAACTACTACAAGTACTACCACAAAAGCAACAACTACCAAAGAGACCACCACGGCTCAGAAAGATACCCCTGCGACAACAGTGGCACAAATGACCAAGGCAGACTCTCCCACCACCCCTAAGGTAGAAGATATGACCCCTGAGGCCACAGAGGAACCAATAACCGAGGCAGATTCTTCTGCCACCCCCAAACCTGAAGAGCCAACCCCTGAAGCCACAGAGGCACCAACAACCAAGGCAGACTCTCCCACCACCCCCAAAGCAGAAGAGACAACCCCTGCAGCCACAGAGGCACCAACGACCAAGGCAGACTCTCCCACCACTCCCAAAGCTGATGAGCCAACCCCTGAAGTCACAGAGGAAGCAATGACTGAGGCAGACTCTCACACCAGCCCCCCAGAAGATGAAGACAAAACTGCTGTGCCCACAGAGGCACCAACGACCAAGGCAGACTCTCCCACTACCCCCAAAGCTGAAGATACAACCCCAGAGGCACCAACGACCAAGGCAGACTCTCCCCCCACCCCCAAAGCTGATGAGCCAACCCCTGAAGCCACAGAGGCACCAGTGACCAAGGCAGATTCGCCCACCACCCCCAAAGCTGATGAGCCAACCCCTGAAGCCACAGAGGCACCAACAACCAAGGCAGACTCTCCTACCACCCCCAAAGCTGATGAGCCAACCCCTGAAGTCACAGAGGAAGCAATGACTGAGGCAGACTCTCACACCAGCCCCCCAGAAGATGAAGACAAAACTGCTGTGCCCACAGAGGCACCAACGACCAAGGCAGCCTCTCCCACCACCCCCAATACAGAAGACACAACCCCAGAGGCACCAACGACCAAGGCAGCCTCTCCCACCACCCCCAATACAGAAGACACAACCCCAGAGGCACCAACGACCAAGGCAGCCTCTCCCACCACTCCCAAAGCTGATGAGCCAACCCCTGAAGTCACAGAGGAAGCAATGACTGAGGCAGACTCTCACACCAGCCCCCCAGAAGATGAAGACAAAACTGCTGTGCCCACAGAGGCACCAATAACCAAGGCAGACTCTCCTACCACTCCCAAAGCTGATGAGCCAACCCCTGAAGCCACAGAGGCACCAACGACCAAGGCAGATTCTCCCACCACCCCCAAACCTGAAGAGACACCCCCTGCAGCCACAGAGGCACCAGTGACCAAGGCAGATTCTCCCACCACCCCCAAACCTGAAGAGACAACCCCTGCAGCCACAGAGGCACCAGTGACCAAGGCAGATTCTCCCACCACCCCCAATACAGAAGACACAACCCCAGAGGCACCAACGACCAAGGCAGACTCTCCCCCCACCCCCAAAGCTGAAGATACAACCCCAGAGGCACCAACGACCAAGGCAGCCTCTCCCACCACTCCCAAAGCTGATGAGCCAACCCCTGAAGCCACAGAGGCACCAACGACCAAGGCAGCCTCTCCCACCACCCCCAATACAGAAGACACAACCCCAGAGGCACCAACGACCAAGGCAGACTCTCCTACCACTCCCAAAGCTGATGAGCCAACCCCTGAAGCCACAGAGGCACCAGTGACCAAGGCAGATTCGCCCACCACCCCCAAACCTGAAGAGACAACCCCTGAAGTCACAGAGGAAGCAATGACTGAGGCAGACTCTCACACCAGCCCCCCAGAAGATGAAGACAAAACTGCTGTGCCCACAGAGGCACCAATGACCAAGACAGACTCTCCCACCACCCCCAAAGCTGATGAGCCAACCCCTGAAGTCACAGAGGCACCAACGACCAAGGCAGCCTCTCCCACCACCCCCAATACAGAAGACACAACCCCAGAGGCACCAACGACCAAGGCAGACTCTCCCCCCACCCCCAAAGCTGATGAGCCAACCCCTGAAGCCACAGAGGCACCAGTGACCAAGGCAGATTCTCCCACCACCCCCAAACCTGAAGAGACACCCCCTGCAGCCACAGAGGCACCAGTGACCAAGGCAGATTCGCCCACCACCCCCAAAGCAGAAGAGACAACCCCTGAAGTCACAGAGGCACCAACAACCAAGGCAAACTCCCCTACCACCCCCAAAGCTGAAGAGACAACCCCGAAGGCACCAGCCACCAAGGTAAACTCTCCCACCACCCCTAAAGTGGAGGAGGCAGACTCTCCCACCACCCCTAAGGTCAAGGGGACTACCCCTGTAGCCACTAAGGCTGTCAGCACTGCCAGACAGAAAACAACACCTATTGAACTGACAACTACTGTCCCTGCATTAGTAACAACTGCTAAAAAAGACACAACCACTCAAAGCAGTGAGGCGATCACAACAACCAGGAAAGAAACACCCATACCTGAAGCAGACACAATGGTTTCAGCAACAACAGCAGAGAAGAAAATTACAACTCCTGCACCCAAAGTAGCAACCAGCACAACTGCAAAAGACACGACTACAGCAGTACAAAGGACAGTGATAACTGCAGCTAGGGCTACTGAGATTGTAACAGTAACTGACAAAAAAGACAAAACAACAGCTGAAACTGTTACTACTCCTGTAACTGAAGAGCTGACAACTAAAATAGAAACAACCACAGTGAACAAAGAGATAACACCACCCAAGAAAGACAAAACTACTATGCTTAAAGATATTTTAACAAGTAGGAAAGACACAATTACTGTAACTATGGTGGTAACAGCTAAACCTGATGACTTTCCTAAAGGTAAGGATGATATTCCAAATACAACTCCTACAGCCAAGCAAGCTGTCACTACAGCAGCTGAATCAGAAGCAACCACTGCGGATAAAAAGACTGCATCAACGGCTGAAGAAAAAGAAGCAACCCCAGCTAAACAAGATGAGACTCCCATACCAAAAGAGACTGTAACAGCTAAAAAAGAAGAAAGCCCTGGGAGGACAGCAACTATAACAACAGCAGCTGCAACTCCCATGTTCAAGCCCACTGTGTTAGCAACAACTGCCAAAACAGATTCAACTCCTAAACCCAGGGAGATTGTGACAACAACTAAAAGAGACACAACTATGGAAACTAAGCAGACTGTAACAGCAGCAGCTAAAGAGAGCACAAGTACTACTTGTGTTGTTGTAGAGACAACAGCTGATAAAAAAGAGGTAATGACCATCAAAGAAACTAGCATCACACCTGAAAAAGAAATGGAAGATGCCACTGAAAAGGCCCCTAGTATTGACAAGGGAGAGGAAACTACAGTTACCAAAGAGACCGCTACAAGAGATAAAAAAGACACGATAGAAGAAATGTTTATTGTTTCTAAAGGGACATCCAAGCCAACTATACATTTCCAGGAGGTTACTGACACAAGAGATGAGTCTCATCCATCCGACCCTGAAACTCTGCCAGTAAGAGAACAGCCTGAGATAAACAACAAGCCTTTTATACAAACTGCGGACTTGCCAATTTTAACTGGAGAAACAGAAGGTAATTGCATTCCAGTAGGCACAAAAGCACCAGTAACTCAACCAGAGAGCACAACAAAACACATGAGTAAAGGACATGCAAGACCTTTCTATCTGGTTGCCAGAAGAATGTGGCACTCCTGTCCCAGTGGTCAACCATGACACCGGTGCTACAGCTGCCCACATCTTGAATACTGGTACCTCAGTTTTCAGTTGTGTTGTTATGGAAATTCTCCATGTAGTTTAGCATGATCGTGTTTCAGTAATTGGTCCAGCCGAAAAACGTTTGCTGTAAGTACTGTGGAAGATGCAAACACAGAAAGTCAAGGACAAATAAGATACATTTCTAAGTCCCATGAAAACATTGCTAGGGAGTCAGGCTGAATATCCACCATTACTCATGGTACCTAACCTGTCATTTTGTAGTCACATACAAAACATGTCACATAAGACAGACAAGAAGCCTTTTCCTTGTATTCTCTTTCCTCTGTGCTTTTTGCCACCACATTTTTCATGTCCTCACAGTTTATCTTAATCAGATATAGCCCCTAGGTTCTTGGGCAATTTTTCAATCATTGGGAAAAAAAAAAGTTTTTTAGATGGAAAATACTTGGATTTTTTGTCCAAAAGAGACTCAACCTTCCTTTATATTTAACTGAAAGTAAATGTAAATGCTTTTTTAAGAAATAAGGAGGGGGAGGGAAACCCACTAGAGCAGCTTGGAGAAACATTAAGTAAACATCCTGGAGCATGAAGAAATTAAGTGAGGAACATAGCATACAGTACATTTGTAGGTCTTTTTCTGAATTACAGGTGCTCAGGTAAGCAGTAAGTGATGATATCTGTACCTAGTCAAGTAAACGGCTGGTCTTGCACTCCTGGGACCAAAACATGAGAGCCAAACTTTCCAAGAATATCTCTCAAATGAGTAATTAAACCCTTTGCATGACAAATGCCAGGCAGAGGCCTGAATGACAGAGAGCCCTGAACATCGGCCTGACACAAGCGATCACATTTAACAGCTGCAGTGCTACTGGCGTTGGGCAGGGGAAGTAATGCGCTTTCTGTTAAATGTTGAACAAACCCAGCCCACTGTGTTTTGCAGCAAAGGACGAGAAGGACCTGTGCA